AGTCACTTAAGTAGAGACGGGGGTGGATCTCCAAGAAAATCTGCCTGATAACTGAGCCAGAGCCCTCTGGTCCATCATTCCTGGAGCCTGGCAGCTGGTTTTTGCTCCTCTCCCCTTGAGCTGCATCTACTCTGTGTAAGAGGCCATCCTGAGAAATCATCTGGACTTTTACTAGGACATGAAATTTTTTTATTCCAGAATAATAGAAATATTTGAGGGACAGGGCTCAGTGGGAAAATGCATAGAAAACCAAGATATTTGGGTATCTGTTGCTCTCAAATCTAACAAAGCAAGGCTCCTCCTCTGCCAGTTTCACAGTTGGAGGAAATGTCTGTTTCCAAGCAGGCCTTACGTGCTGCAACTAGGGCTATTACTGTCATCGATATTTTAGTTATTTGAAACCCATATGATTACTTCAATGTGTTTGAAATATAGCCAATTCCAGAAAATGACACAGTTTTCCAAATTTAGGCACAGATGTGTTGACAAATCCGTGCAGCCCCCACCTCTTCTTCCTGTGCCTTAGACTGTGGATGTTTCCATTGCACCAGCATTTCTTGCAGCATTTCTGCTGCACCCCAGCAATGAGGGCAGACTGAGGACCCACTCGAACTCTGTGGTGCCCATGCCCGACCAGATCACTGCTGTCTCAGGAAAGGCAGCCCAGGAGTGGCATGGGATTCAGACCTCCATCACCACATACCCTCACTCAGCAAGGGCACCAACTCTGTCAGCAGCTGTGAGTCTCAAACCTCTATTTGTGAAGGGAGAACACTGATATCGGCCTCTCAGGCTCTGCTAAAGATGCAGCCATGAGCGCTCAGGAAAATTCTGGCTGCTGAGCAGGGAGCTGCAGAGTTTAGCACACGCTCCCCAGCTGTGTGCTTAGGCTTATCGTCCCAAGATCATGATGTGTTAGGACAGGTTGCTGTCAGCCCATCCAGCATACAGTGAAGCAGCAAAGAGGCTGCAGAACTTTCCCAGGCTCGGTGACTGCCGAGCGGCGCAGCTGAGGTCTGACCGTGCTCTGCTGTCTTCGGAGCCTGCTCTGCCCTCGTAGCATGCTGTTCACTAGACACAAGGATACTGATGGTGATGGTGGATGGTAACCCAGTGAAGCTCAGCTGTCTTAGCTTGGCATTCAAGGCCCTCCTCAATATAGCTTCAGTGTCGTTTCCGGCCCCTCCCATTGCCTTTGTCCTCACAGGGTCAGGCCCCACTAAGCAAAGTCCCGAAGTAGGCATCCTTGTCTACATGTCTCTGCGTCAGGCCTTCTCCTCCCTCCCGCCTGGTATGATCTGGGTGGACCCATCTTTTCTTTAAAGCTGTTCTCACTCCCCTGTCCCCAGCTTCTTCGTGCCTCTCCCTCTGCCATGTCCCAAAGCCCCAAGAGCCAACCCTGCTAACCACGAGGACACTATCTTACTCCCTCCCACTCTCCTCTGACTCCTCCCCCTCCAACCCAGAGGACTCTGGTTAGTTCAGCTCTGACTCTCCAGAGGCAGCCGGCAGGGCTTTCACAGTTATTCCCGGAAGCAACCCTAACTGCCCACAGCTCCAACACAGGCCAACCCCCACCTGTGCTGCGTGGATGGGGCCTCTGCCTTGAGTCAGTCGCCACCCGTGGCTGCTGAGCATCCAGGCAGGGCAAGCGTCTTCCTCCCAGGGACATTTTTCTGGAGCCAACTCTGCTCCAAGAACACTGAGCTGCACTTCATGTTTGCCTCCTGCACAGTACAATTTCCAGCCCCCCGGTTTTTAATAAGGATGAGGGTGCCAGAGACAGCAAAACAGCAGGATTATCTGTTTCCAAGAGCAGCTTGCACTGCTGGCATTTTGGAGAGTAAAAAACAAAACAACAATAATGACAACAACAACAACAAAATCCACACCACTGCCAGGCTGAACACAGAGCTCCTCCAACATGGCCACTCTTGGAGACGAGCCAGAACATGACACTTGTAAGGGCGTTGAAGTATTGGCTGCTAAGACGACACCTGCACCCTGGAAACCCACCCACCAGGGAGAGCTTTGAGAGGTAAAGAGGGTGAAGAGAGCAGAGTGTCCCGCAGACCAGAAGGAACGCTCATCCTCTTAGTAACACTGCCACCTACTGAGACCTGAGCCCTTCCGGCACCCAGGGCCACATAGGCTCCAAGTCCTCTTTGCTTCAGCATTTTCTCGGAGTCTCATTTCTCATTTGATTTACTGTTCTATATGTTATTATGAGACTTTCCCCCACCCTTTTTGGAAATTAATTACTGTAATTATCCAACTTTTAATGGCTGCTGATTTGGCATCTGCAGAAAATATCTGCGAGAAATGCACCACTACATTTCATTTGCATATTTGAGAGACAGGGAGGGAAAGTCAGACTGTTCCTGAATTACTCACTGTGACCTGAATGGAGAAAAGTGTCGCACCCAGTGCAATTCTTACTTGCACACTTGATTCGTCCAGGTACCACTGTCAGATGTGCAAAGCAGGGAAGGTCTTTCCCACAGTGATGTGACAATTCAAGGTGTACCTGAAACCCAGGCTCTTCCTCAGAGTTTCCATACACAAGAAGAGACAGCAGGATGGGCCACTGTCCACCAGCCCTGTGTCATTTTGTCAGTCACCAGTGGACTTCCGCAGAGTGTGTCTACAAGTTTGACTGCCAAGACCACCCGCTCAGGCACTTGGACAACCCTGGGCTAAGGCAAAGGCAAAGGCACTAGAACAGTGTGTAACACCCAGCATGTGTGACCCTGCATCCCGGGAGAGCTGGGAAGACCTGAGACCGCAAATCACTCATATCATAAGCTTGAGCTTCAGGGAGTTTCAGAACTTCCTTACCTGCTGCAGAACCTTAGGTAGCTGCGTGACCCTCCCAACTCCCAGGCACCATCAGAATGCTGGAGAAGCAACTCAGGCTCATCCCCAGCCTAGCTCCAGAATGCCAGAACCTCCTGCCTCTGTCCCCTGGGAGCCCTGAGCTGCTGTGTCCCCACAGAGCATCCTCTTGAGGCATAGGAACAGGCCAGATGGAGAGAGCCACAGAGAGGAGACACAGGACCCAGCTGGTAGTTTGAGCAGGCCCCAGGCCCATGAACCACACAGCTACCTCAAGGAGGTGCTGGCTCTGTGGAAGACAGACCCACGTGGGTGGCCCAGCCCAGCCAGGACCACACAGACCAAAACCCATCCTCGCTGACTCACAGATCAAAAGCAACACAGTCATATACTACACATCAACAAGACATATCCTGGGAAATCCAGTGTTGGGCAGTGTTATTATTACGTGATCACCATAGAGGGCACTTATACAAACTAAGGTGGCTATAATATCACCAGGAAATATAATCTGAGGGGGTCAGTGCTGCAGAGGGACTTCTCACTGACTGACATATCCTTCTGCACCTATGACTGGGGTCATAGGTGGGGTCATCTTTCACTTTTATCCCATCCCACTCCACCAGCTTCTCTCCCACAGGGCCTGTAAAGACGCCCGCTACACCGGAACGCATGATCCTATGCACTGGTGTCCTCTGCACTGGTGTCCAGCAGAGGAACAGAAACCAGAGCAGGGAGTCACCACAAAACATGTGAGCATGGAACTCACTTAGGCCTTTTTTAACTCCTGCACCAAATACTACAGATTGTCCTTGGCAGGAACAGTTCTGGTCATCACTATCTGGGCTTCTCTTCTGCTCTGCTTCAGGATGTAATTAATAATGCTAAATAGTTGTCATTTCTTCCTAAAACATACAGCCTCTTTTTAAATCTTTGTTTCCTCTCAGCTGCCCTTTCTATTGGCTTCCTGCCATTGCTGCTAGTCACTGTGGGAGGCGTGTTTTCCACACCTTCTTCAACTTTCCCATGCCCTCTCTCGGAGCTTCTAAGAGATGGGCTCTTCAGTTTGAGAAGACTCACTCAGATCCTGCCTGTTCCGCTGCCCCATGCCCTCCCAGTGCCGTCCCAGCCCCATGCCCACCCCCATGCTACGCCGCCTCTCTGCAGGGGTTTTGCCCTTCTGTCCACACAGAATCCTGCAGCACCTTGTTCTTTCTGTGTCTCCACTGCCTGTACCCCTATCCCCTTGGGAGCCACCATCCTATCAGTTCTGTCTCTGAGAAGGTCTCCAGACTCCTGTCTCCATCCCTTTCGGCAAACACCATCCACACCCAGGGCCCACAGTCACTGCCTCGGCTATGGACACCGCCTCCTGACTACCCTCACTTCTTCCCTGCCACTCAGTCCCAGGCCATTCCCTAGCAAACAGCTGCAGCGCTATTTATCACACAAACCCCTAAGTGTGCTGACTGCACTCACTCTGGAGACCCTCATTACCCTGGGGACAAGACCTCCACCCCGGGGGAATCTCCCATCTGCCGCAGCTCCTTCCAGCTGGTTAATGGCTGCTCATCATTCACTGCCCTGCCCCACCACAACAGCTTTCCTGACCTCCACCCCTTCACCCAAATTAGCCTCCCAACCTCCATCCCATCGGTCTCTAGGCACCTTGTTTCCCTGACTATCATCTGTGATGGTGCATTGATCTCAGAGTGTATTTATGTGGCTCCTTGCCCTGTCCCCACTTCCCTGTCTCCACCACAGATGCAACCTCTGGGAACAGCCTGTGACCATTTCTGGTTAGCCCTGCATGTCCATCAGAGAACAAGCCATGGTCTCAGCCAGCACCCTTGTTCAGGGCCCACTGGTGCCCCCAGCGCCAGGGCTGTGCCTAGCACCTGGCCACTCAGTCATTCTCAGTCACATTCTGTTCACCTGTTGCTTTTAGAAGAACACTTCACCAACAAAAGTGACCCACTCTGAATGGCCTTGGAAGGGTGACATGAATCATTCAAGGGATCCTGAAAGGGGTACCACCCAAGGTGCTCTGCTACCACAGGTACTGAGGGTGGAGGCAAAGACACAGAAAGAGAGTCTTGTGCCAGAGGAGCTTGAAATATCAGCCACGGGACACAGACAGAAGACATGCACCCGTGAACAGGTACCTGTGGGTGGTCTTTGTGATACAGCCGGGGAAGCAGCCTCACCATGATGCATACAATCCCAGGGTGCATAATCACAGCATCCCCTTCGTCCAGCCTGCAGAGAGAAGGAGAGCAGAACATCAGGCAGGAGCCCTCTGGCCTCTCCTCAATGTCACAGTATCCACCAGGTCCTTCTTTCTGAACAATCCATGCCCCATATTCTCATTACCTGGATGACCCTGAACTGACCCTTCTGAAACCAATTTCCCCAGCTGTACAGTGAAGGGGACGGTGCTTCATTTTCCTCTAGAGACACAGAGCAGGCCTCAGTGCTCTAAGGCCCAGGGCCCAGCACAGAGTCAAAGCCCAGCAGAAGTCATCTCCCTGGCCTCTTTCCTTCCCTCTAGGTGTGAGGGAGCTCACGAAGGCCTCACACACAGAGTGCCCAGAGGCCTTCAGAGTGATGAGCACACACTGGCTGGTCCCACCCATTGAATGCAACGAAAACACACCCTATATTTCCATGAACAGACAAATGGACAAAGGAAATGAGGCATTTACACACCATGGAGTGGGCCGGGGATATAGCTCAGCAGTACAAGTGCCTGCCTGGCAAGTGCAAGGTCCCAAGTTCGATTCCCAGTACCAAAAAACAAAAAACAAACAAACACACCATGGAGCACTACTATGCCCTAAAGAAAGGTAAACTTGAGTCATTTGTAGGAAAATGGTTGCATCCTGAGACCATAATATTAAGTGAAATAAATCAGACACAAGCTTAAATATCATGTTTTCTCTTATATGTGAAATCCAAATTATAGATAAATTAAAGAGCACATTAAAATATAGATAATAGGAAGCAAGGAGGGCCGGGGATATAGCTCAGTGGTATAAGCACCTGCCTGGCAAGCACAAGGTCCTGAGTTCAATTCCTGATGCTACAGGAAAAAAAAAAAAAAAAAAGGAAGCAAGGAGATAGATCTTTTGCAAAAGGGAAGGGGACAGAGAGATGAAGGGAGGGGGAGAGAGGGCAGGAAAGGGTTATGAAGAAAGAGTTAAGCTGTGTTATGTACATGCACCAGCTCCCCATGGTGAATGCAATCATTACTGCAAACATGGACTAATAAAAATCAACCTGATGGGACTTCTGGGTCAGCTCTGAGGACTCTGAAAACAAACGGTGGCAGAGAAGGAAACCAAACTCGAAGTACCACAGAACCGGCAATGGCTTTCCCAGGCCACCCGCTCCAGCATTCCGCCATGTGGATGCACAGGGAGCCTGGAACTCGGAGCTCTGCACCAGGTGCAGGGGAGGGGAGGAGCTCCAAGAGAGCCCGCTACTGCTCATCCAGGAGACAAGGAGCAAAGCTGTGAGACGCCTTTGGTTTCTCCATTCTCTCCCACCCCACCTCAGGGTAATTCCCATGGGAAGAGCAGAAACAGGCAGCTGCCAGGCAGGTTCCTGCTCTCTAGGCAGGGGATCTGTGTCCCAAGAGCATAGGTCAAATCACTGTCTCTTTTTCCTCCCTCTGCTTGTCCAGCGGAGACAGATGCAGCCCAATGAAAGAGCAGAGAAACTAAATCTCCTTCCAGCTTTTTAGACAGAGAAGGAGAAAGCGGACCCCAGGAAGTCAGAAAGTGTCAGGGAGAGGTTGAAGAGGAGGAGGCTAGGAACGGTGTAACCACTAGTTTTCCTATTTGCCTCAGTGCTCAGAGGCCCACCAAAACTTGCTGGTGTGTCCTTGCCTACCTTATTCACCAGATCTGGCACAGTGTGACGTCCTGCTCTTCCCCAAAGTCAAAATGATTGTGAAAGGGAAACTTTTTGAATCAATTCAGACACTGAGGCAGCCACAGGAGACAACTAAAGACACTCAGGAAAGAGGACTCCAGGCCTGCTTCAGAGAGTGGCAAGGATGGTGGGATAAGAGTGTTCAAAGTAAGGAGTATTTTGAAGGGTATTAATGGCAATGTGTCTTTTACTGTAAAGATTATTTTTAATTTAAACATTTATCATAGTTTTTTATCACAATTCATACTTCAAATTGCCCTACAAAGCCCTTGAAAATCAACCTGACACTGTAACTGGGGACTGTAGTGGGTGGAGAGAATCCTAGGACCCAAACCAAGCTGGGTGTGCTGAAACAAATCAATATTCTCCCCAAGATGCTAACAAGAGTCAGAGCTGATCAGAGAACATCAAAATGTCCATCATACAAACTAAAATTGCTCAACATAGAATGAACCAGAAAATGTCAGTTTTCACACAGAAAAAGACCAATGCTGAGATGAAGCAGATGTTGGAATTTTTTGACAAAACCTTTAAAGCAGTTATTATTAACTAAATCCCAAGAAGTAAGAATGAACACTTTGGAAATGAATGGAAAGTAGCTTTTTTTTTTTTTTTTGGTTTTTCTCTGGTACCAGGAATCGAACTCACAACCTTGCACTTGCCAGGCAGGCGCTGTGCCACTGAGCTAAATCTCCAGCCCTGAAAGTAGCTTCCATAGTGTAATGGTTAGCACTCTGGACTCTGAAATGAATGGAAAGACAAAAAGTCAGTCAAGAAACAGAAGCAATGAGAAAAATCAACTGTAAACTTAAGAACTAAAGAATGCAGTGGCTGATGAAAAAAAAAACTCACTGAATCAGAAGAATAGAAGAATGAAATGAAAGAGAATAATCCATGAACTTGAAGACAGAACAATAGGCATTGCTCAAACTACACAAGGAAGAAAAAGATTTTATAAATGAAGAGAGTCTCAAAGCCATTTATCACAATACCAATGCATCTAACCTGCCAGTTATTGAGGTCACAAAAGAGAAGAGAAAGGTGGTATATAAAAAAAATATGACTGGTAATTTTTTACACAATCTTTCATAAAATTCCATGAAATACATACCCTTAAAGATGCAAGAAGCTTGGCAAAATTCATGCAAAATGAACAAAGACATCCTTGCCAGCCACATCATTTGCAAACTGATAAACCCAGAAACAAGAAATCTTGAAAGCAACCAGAGAAACATAACATATTGCAGACAGGGGGATAATGCTTTGAATGACCATAGATTTTGTCATGAGAAAGCACAGGTTGGAGAACAGGATTTTTAAAATGTTCCAAAGGAACACAGAATTAATCCCATACTGTGTCAGTCAGCTTTGCATCATTGTAACAAAATACCTGAGAAAGACAGTTTAGAGGAAGAAGGGTTTATTTTGGCTAACAGGTTCAGAAGTTTCAGTCTATGGTAAGCCAGCCCTTTCCTTTGCTTTTAGGCACAGGGCAAAGCAGAATAGCATGGTGGAAGGGTGTGATGGAGGAAAGCTGTTCACTTTGTGGCAGCCAGGAAGATAGGAGAAAGGGAAAAAGCCAGAGAGGGAGCAAGGGTCTGGGAGCAAGATACATCTTTCCAAGGCACACGTCAGTGACTTGCTCTCTCCAGCTGAGCTCCACCTCCTAACAGCACCTTGACCCATGAACAACTCATCAGTGGCTTAACCCACCGTTGAAGTTAAAGCCTTGATAATGCAGTTAGCTCTCCAGCTCCCACCTCTAAATGTTGTTGCATTGGGAATCAAGCCTTCAACACAAGAGTGTTCGGGAGACATGACATATTTAATTCATAACATATACCCTGCAGTAATGAAAGCAAGATTTAGAACATTCCCAAGTGAAGACAGAGAGTTTCTTGCCATCAGACTCATGCTATTTTGTAAAAGGTTGTCTGTCTGTTAATGTTTTCCTCCTTTTATTTTTAAAATTAAAATTAAATAAAAACAATTTTTGAGCAAGATGTGGTAGCAAATGCTTGTAATCCCACCACTCAAGAGGCTGAGGCAGGAGGATCACTGCAAGTTTGAGACCAGGCTGGGCCGCAAAGTTAGCTCAAGGCCAGCCTAAACTGTATAGCAAGACCTTGTCTCAAAACAGATCAAAAAATTTTTTAAAAAAATACAATAAAAACAGCTTTTTCAAAAGTTCTCTAGATAGTAGAAAAATAATCATAAAAGGAAGATTGGTACTTCAGGAGTGAGAAAAGAATAATAGAAATGGTGAATATTTGTGTAAATGTATACATTATTTTTCCTCTTAAGTTGTTGAATATATGCATGGTAGTTGAAGTACAACTGTACTAAATGCCATATAGAAGACAGTACAGCACATGCAGAGGAGGATCAGGGCCTATTAGAGAGAAGCTTCCTCTAATCCACTTGGAGTAGATACTAACTCTACATAGACTACACTTAAGTATGCAGATTGGAATCCCTACTGGAAACACTAAAAAACACTAGACAAAGAGAGGTAAAAATTTAATAGACAAATTCAAATGGAAAACTAGAATATACTCAAATGATCTACAAAAGAGCAAGAAAAGACAAACGAGGAAGAAAGGGGGAAGAGAAAAACTAATAAAAAGGTAAGACAATTCTTGCTTCAGATCAACAATTACATTGAATAATATATATATGAAAAATAAAGACCAAATTATACACTATCATTAAATATGATACAGATAGACTAAAAGGTTAGAAAATTTTATGGCATGCTAATACCCATCAAAAAGTTGTTGTGGTTCTATTCATTTCTGAGAAAGAAGTTTCAGAATGAGAGGGATTAACAGAAATAAACAAATTATATTGCACAACGATGAAAGGAGATGTAACCATCCAAAATGTGTACACACTTTACATGATAGTGATAAAAATTCATAAAAATTGATGTGACTGAAAGGACAAATCTCCACTGATAGTCAAAGACTTCAGCACTCTTCTACTGTAATTTCTACAGAAATAGAAAATCACCAAAGATTGAACTGAACAGCTCCATTAACCAACTGCTATAACTGACATTTATAGAATGCACCACACAACAAGTGCAGAATGTACAGTCTTTTCAAGTAGTTCCCATGGGGCATTTGTCAGAAGAGCCTATACCCTACATCCCAAAACAAACCATGAAACCTTTCAAGTAAGTAAAATCATACAAACTATGTTCTTCCACCACTCAGAATTAAATTAAAAACAAGTAATGGACTTCAAAAGTCTTTAACTTGGAAATTAAACAACAGATTTTCTAAATAACTGTTGGATGAAAAAGGAAATGTCAAGAAAAA